ATATATATATATATATATATATATATATATATATATATATATATATATAAGTAAAGTCTATGAGTTCAGGAGTTTTGTATTACATGAACAAAATAACAGAGGGTGAAGCATATATAAAAATAACGGTTACTTGAATTTATTGTTGAGTAATTCAGTATTATTGCCTGATCATGATCCAGTCATGAATAAAATCTTACTAACTTCTTACATATATGGGCTTATTGCTCATATCTTGTCAGCTTTCCCGAGATGTGATATGTTTTTCATTTACGGGTTCTTAGTTAGTACAGTGTTAAAGAACTTTTATACAATGATTGCACTTAACATGTTGTAGCAGAATCTTATCTTATTTTTCAAGTTATTAATAGCATGTTCCAAGCTTTTGTTTAGGTTATAGGTACTTTTTTTGGCCAAAAGTATTTTTGTCTAAAAATTGAGGTGTTTAACTAATAGTCTGTTTGGCCAAATTTTCTTTTGGGCCAAAAGTGTTTTTTTGGCCAAAAGTACTTTTGGCCAAAAATTGAGGTGTTTGGCCAAGCTTTTGAAAGGAAAAAAAGTGTTTTTAGGAGAAACAGAAGCAGTTTTTGAGAAGCAGAAAAAAGTAGCTTCTCTCCAAAAGCACTTTTCTAAGAAATACTTTTGAAAAACAATACACTTACAAGCAGTTTTCAAAAGATTGGCCAAACACTAATTACTGCTCAAAAGTGCTTTTCAAATTAATTAGTCAAACACAAACTGCTTCTCCCCAAAAGCACTTTTTAAAAAATACTTTTGAGAAAAGCACTTCTCAAAATAAGCTGATTTTAAAAGCTTGGCCAAACAGGCTATAAGCTTTTAGAAGGAAAAATGTACTTTTGAGGAGAAAGAGAAGCAGTTTTTGAGAAACAGAAAAATGTAGCTTCTCTCCAAAAGCACTTTTCTGAGAAGCACTTTTGAGAAAAATACACTAAGAAGCAGTTTTCAAAAGTTTGGCCAAACACTAATTACTGCTCAAAAGTGCTTTTCAAAGTAATTAGCCAAACACAAACCGATTCTCATCAAAAATATTTTTTTGAAAAGCACTTTTAAAAAAAAATACTTCTCAAAATAAGCAGATTTTAAAAGATTGGCCAAGCAGGCTATAAATATATTTTTAATGGTCCACCTTAGTTTAATTCAGATAGCAAATTCCTTCACTGGAAGAGACCATGGATGACTACATAAGCGAAATAAGATTAAAGATCTATCTAATCCTAGAGAGAGGATTATTTTTTTTTTTTGGACTCACAAGTCTCTCTCGGTAAAATATATATATGTAAAATCGGGGCTAATGATCATCCCGATTTTCCGGTGGGTCAAATGAAGTAAGGGCATGACTACATGAGATTGAAATCGGAGCTGGGAACTTCTCGTATTGAGGCCCGAACGGAATGCTCGTCACCGGGCCTGATAAGACAACACTTTCCCGAACCCGGAACAAGCTCCGAAACCTTGGAAAACACAGCAACGATTGCACACGACCAACAGAGGGCCGTGATATCCGCACCCCACCGGATATCACAGCTCAGATCTCGCCCGACATCGGCATCGGATCAGTAATTAACGAGAAAGGAGGATTTTTACCTTTTTTTAGAATTATACTAGGGATGAAATTCTCCTACTTTATAAAGAAAAAAATTTTCTTTGATAAGGGACATTGTAACAAGTATATCAAGGCAATACAAACTTATTTCTCTACTCTCTAGCTATTGCAAAGTCTTGACTTTATTTTTGTTCTTTGTTTTAGATTGGCTTCGAGCCCAGGACCCAACCGAGGGCAAAAATTATTTTTCAGTATAAGTTCAAGCTAGGCCATAACGTTACGAGTGGTTTGATTGTTTATTATGTCTTTAACTCATTTATCTAACATTCTTGATTATTTGTGTTGAACCAATCCACATATTTTTAAAATCGCGTATAAATTCAACTGTTATCTATTTTAAGGGTAAACAATTTGGATCCCACCGTGGGGCCAAGGATAATAGTGGTGGTATGATACAAATTCTCATAACATACACTATTCTACACTTTTTCTTTAAGTTTTCAATTTCAGGTCAGCTTAAAAATGTCAAATTCTCAGTCTGCTCACTTGAACGTTGAGGCTCATTCTGGCCATCATGGCGAAAACAACAACATGATGCCTAGCAATGAGGTGCCCGCTGCTGATCCCAATGGAGTCTCAATTGCCGATCCAATCGATGCCAATTCACATATTGTAATCAACGCCCACCTGCAGACTAACCGCAAAAACAACATTTGTGGAGGCCCTCGACTAACAGTTCGAGAAACGTCTAAAGGCGAATGTGATGGGATGTGCCTGCAGCTAATCTTCGAAATGTTGTAGGCTCAACGGGCGGCAATAGTGCAGCTACAGAATCAAGGCTACCCCTGGTAGGGTCAAGCCCGAATGATCTCGGGAAAACACCCGAAGAAATGAGCAAACTAGTGAGAGGTCGGGTGAAGCTGAGCCCGGGGCCAACCCCGAGATAATGAAAATGCTTGAAGCACTGACGAAGCGGGCAGAATCAAGCGAAAAGAAAATTGAGGCCAACGACAAAAAGGTGGAAACATATAACTCCAGGGTCAATCAAATCCTTAGAGTACCCCCCAATATTAAAAGGACCGGATTCAAAGAAGTTTATCGAAAAGACTTTCCCTGCGAGCGCTGCACCGAAGCCGATCCCAAAGAGGTTTTGGTATGGCCGATATTCCAAAGTATAACGGAACCACAGATCCAAATGAGCATGTGACTTCCTATACATGTGCCATCAAGGGAAATGACTTGGAAGATGACGAAATCGAGTCGGTTTTGCTAAAGAAGTTCGGGGAAACCTTGTCAAAGGGAGCAATGATATGGTATCCCAACTTATTCCCAAATTTTATTGATTCGTTTTTATGCTTCCAGATGCTTTTGTGAAGGCGCATGCCGGGGCCATCAAGGTCAAGACCAGAAAATTGGACATTTTTAAGGCTAAGCAAAGAGACAACGAGATGCTTAGGGAGATCGTGTCAAGGTTTTAAATAGAACGGATGGACTTGCCTCCGATTGCGGATGATTGGGACGTTCAAGCATTCACTCAAGGACTTAACCCCCGAAGCTCCTTGGCTTTGCAGAAATTGAAACAAAATTTGGTAGAGTATCCGGCGGTACCGTGGGCAGACGTCCACAACAGATACCAGTCAAAATTCAGAGTCGAGGACGACCAACTCGGAGCCCCTTCTGGGTCCGTCTATCCCATTATAACTGACGACAGGTCTAAGAGGGTCGTCGATCATGAACCTAGATCAATCCGAGATCGGTATCAACCATACATCGATTAATGAAGGGGAAATGGGTCCTGGTGTCACCCCCACAAGAAACGAAAAGAGAAGTGATCATAGACACAATAACCTAGGTCTGATGAGCAAAAATGGTTTTGACAGGCCGCTCGGGGCCAGGGAGTCACCAAGACTGTCAGAATATAACTTCAACGTCGATACTGCCAGTATCGTATCAGGATGGCGAATCAAGGATACCAAGTGGCCTCGACCTTTGCAGTCTGACCCTACTAAGATAGATCCTAACTTGATGTGCAAGTATCATGGCACTCATGGCCACATGACCAAGGATTGCCGGCAATTGAGAGAAGAAGTTGCCCGATTGTTTAATAACGGGCACATACAAGAATTTCTAAGTGATCAAGCCAAAAACCACTTTAGAAACAAGGATGCCAACAAACAGACCGAATAAGAAGAACCTCAGCACGTCATCAACATGATCATTGGAGGGGTCGATGTCCCTCAAGGGCCAATGATAAAACGCACTAAAGTATCCATCACGAGGGAAAAATGCACCCGAGTTTACATCCCGGAAGGGACCATTTTGTTCGGCGACGAGGATGCCGAAGGCATCATACAACCTCATAATGATGCACTGGTAATATCTATACTTATCAATAAATCTCGAGTTAAACATGTGTTGATTGATCCAGGTAGCTCGTCCAACATCATTAGATCGAGGGTCGTAGAGCAGTTCGTGCTACAGGACCAAATAGTGCCAGCAGTCTGGGTTTTGAACGAATTCAACATGGCATGAGTAACCACCAAAGGGAGATAACCCTACCAGTGAGTACCACAGGGACCATCAAGGAAACAAAGTTCTATGTGATGGAAGGGGACATGAGATATAACGCCCTGTTCGGAAGACCATGGGTTCACAAAATGAAGGCGGTACCTTCAACCTTACACTAGCCGTTAAAGTTCCCTACACCGGGAGGAATCAAGATGGTATACAGAGAACAACCGGCTACAAAGGAGATATTAGCAGTTGATGAAGTACTCCCGGTGCCCACCATCTCGACATTACAGAACACGGACCAACCAGAGAGGCCAAAGTTAAATAGCAATCACCGACATCGGTCATGGTCGTACCGGAGGAACGAGGAGTCGGTGAGGAGGACGATTACGGAGTTTCGAGGTCATTCATAGATTCTAATGATACCAACGCCACCAAATCAACAGTCGAAGATTGGAGCAAGTCACATTAATTGAAAACCTGCCGGATCGAAAGGTATACCTGGGCACGAGGTTAACCCCCGAGCTCAGGAAAAAAACTCATTAATTTTATTAAAGCTAACATAGCTTGTTTCGCTTGGTCCCATCTTGACATGACAGGGATACCACCGGAAGTAACCACTCATAAGCTGAGTTTGGACCCAAAGTTCCACCTGGTTAAACAGAAGAGGAGACCCCAGTCCGAGGTCAAGCATTCATTCGTCATGGACGAGATATCTAAACTTCTAAAAATAGGGTCGGGGAGGTTAAGTATCTAGACTGGTTAGCTAACATAGTGGTAGCATCTAAAGAAGGAAAGAAGCTAAGAATATGTGTAGATCACAAAGACTTGAACAAGGCGTGCCCTAAGGATTCTTTTTCTTTGCATAACATT